GGAATTTGGCCTATTCTACGTTACCAAGAGAAAAAACAAAGATCAGTAGGTTAAAAACTACCAGGAGAAAAACTTAAATTCAACATAAAGAACAACTTTCCTATAGAACTGCCCAATAAGGGAATGAGCTGCTTTAGGAGATAGCAAATTTTCTGCTCTTGGAAGTATTCATGTATAGTCCAGAAGATCACTAGAGGAAAAGCAGATGAAAAGGATCAAGGACCAGGGAAAGGGTCTGGAGTAGAGGAACCTTTAAAGTCCCTTTGTAACAAATCAACACCCACACTCACACCACCCCTGTGCAGGTTCCCGTTGAATGATGCTAGCCAAGTATACAGTGTTGGGTCTTAAAGTAGTCTCCCTACAGAAGCCAGTTCATAAAACTGCAGTCTAATGGGAAGAGGTGGGCTGCCCCTAAAGGAGTGGACATCAATCACCGAAGAAGAAGACACCCAAGTGGTCGAATAAAGGCAGACAGACTTGGCAGGGGGCGCTCAAACTGAAGATAAGCAATTTTTATCTTGTAAGTCAAGTTACCAAGTTACTGTATTAATTTCTTATTATCCCTTGGCTATCCCCAGGAATACCTCAGCTGTGTCTATATTTGGGCCAGCACTGAAAGAAGGAATAACATCCCACCCAGGCCAGCATGGTAGAGGCAAGAGATCTAATGTGAGGACCCCAAGGAGAAGGTGGCTCTCAGAAGACAAGGTTTTGACACCCAGCAACACCTCCCCATATGAAGATTCCCCTTCCACTGACAACTCCAAAAGGTTTGGGCTTTTTAAGCAACTCAACAGGTTTCCTATTGTGATTTGGGAGTTACTCATACAAAGAATTGCTCCCAAGCTCCCCAGGAATGTCATGTTGGACCCCAAGGTCCAAGGGAAAGCCCACAGAAGGGATAACCACAGAAGAGAGGCCACAGAAGGATAACATCCTACCTTCCTGGTTTAGCTTCTGGTTCTCCTCAGAGTGAGAATGTTCGTGTTTCTGCTGTTGCCTTGCTGTGCTAATGGCCTGGAGCGCATCCAGCCGCTGTTCCTCACTGAAGGCTGCAGGGTCCACCACTAGCTTCTCAGCCTCCGACAAGTAACCCAGAGGCAGCAGCACTCGATGCAGGTGAAGTTCTGCCAAGGTTCTGTATTCTGGAAGGCCCAGATTGTCTGGGTCTTGGAGCCAGGCATTGGCCGCTTCCAACATGGCTCCAGGCTCTTGCATTTTGCTGTATAAAAGAACACTGCAGCCCAAAATAATCCAATCCCAAAAAAAGAACAGTCAGTGTTCCACAGTTGGCTTGTCTCTCATAACCACTATACTCTCCTATCAAACTCCTCCCCTGGGTCCTCCAGCCCTTCTATGGGATGCTGACACTGATAAAGAATTAGGAATTCCTAGGAAGTAGCAAGAAGCTCTCTCAGCTCTGACACACACCAATCATCCCTCTTCACATCTATTCCCAGTGTCTTCTTTCTTCCTCTTTTACCCTAACCCACTCCTAAATTCCTCCTCCTTCCTCATCTTTACGTACTATGTTTTGAGGTCTGGAGAAGAAAAAAAAAAAGAACAGGGAAAGAATTAGATTGGAGAGAAATAGTACTAGAGAAGGGGAAAAGAAGATATTAGGCACCGATTCAAGAGAGGACACGAAAATCCTCATTTCTGATCTGATCTACTGAGTCAGAAACAAGGACCTACCACAACTCCAGGACTTTGGGGGGCAGCTTTTCAGGGATCTGGTAATATTGAAGAACCCAGGACAAGACTTCCCGCCACCGATCCATTTCTGCCAGGGCCTGGATCCCCACAACACATAGGGAGCATTTCACCTCCGAGAAGCTGTAGCAGAAAAATCAATTCAGATTTAGTAGTGGTCCTCCGCCATTTCCATTCACACCTGCACTCTGGGACTGTTGTTCCTTAGCTCCCAATTCAGTAGCTATCACCTCCATCTTCCCTATTAGTATTCAAGTGGGCCTCACATTACAATTGGTCTCATGGGCCCCAACACAGAGAAAACTGCCCACTCTCCTAAAAATTTAAAGTTCCTGTAAACCTCTTAGAGGCAAATCAACTATTGCCCAACATCTTCGTATCCTGGTGAACTCAGGTTTAAACGAACAAGAAGGGGAAAAGTACAACATGCAGAACAGGTGTGTGGGTAGAAAGAGAGCTGGAGCTAAGAGTTTGCCTAGGGAAGAAATGGGCATGTAGATAGAGGAATGCCACGCCTGGCTTTTTAGCACCACCTAATGAAGTACCTCCAAGCACCCAGAATCACAGCCTTCCTCATTTACTGCAAATCCCCACGCAATCCCCTAAAAACACAACTAGGCTCCCTAGTTTATTCTCTGGGGTCAGCTTTGATAACTCTACCCACCACCTTCCTAGTGTGACCTAATTCAACTTTATAACACAAAAATGATACCCTTAATTTCCAGAAGAGGCTAGCAGCATTAGAAATAGTAATGGAGGACCAAGGTTTTCTCTAGATTCTTTAATCCAGTCCTTCAACAGGACAAGAACCCCATTCCCATTCATCAGCCAAGATCAAAAGTGTACCTAGGAAAAGGCTTCCACCGCCTGCTTACTGAAATAGTTTAACACTTAACACATTCTATTTTCCCATCATGCCATTCCATACTGGAACAAGGAGCAAAGAACGGCTATGGGTTCCTACCAAACTCTGTTAAACGACTTGACCACTTCTTCCTCATGGTTCATTCAGTGCCTGTTTTTCTCGGCTGCAGAACGAGCACACCGGACACTCAGAAACCATAAGGAAAGCAAGGGGTAAAGCTCACTGTGAGCAACCAGAGAATGACAGAACTGCTGAGATCTTGAGTCCTTCCCCAAGATCACCAGGGAATGAACCAAGCTAGCCCAGCACGTACGTGCCCGTAGGCTCGTCCGCCAGGGCACCGTTGGCCAGGCTCTGCCAGGCTCGCTCGCAGGTCTGCAGCGCCGCTGGAAAGTCCAGGTGCACCACCAAGAGGTCGGCCGCCTCCTCCAGCAGAACCACGGCCGGTGACGGGGCTGGGACGATGCGAACTGGTTCGCTGCTCCTCAGGGGACCCCCCACGCCCTTGAGGGGGGCTGCAGATGTCGAGAGGTCACTCTTCATGACCAGCCTGGGCTGTGGGCCTGTCTCCTCTCTAAGACGTCCAAGTGGCCGCTTTTCCGGGGGCTCCAAGATAATCCGACTGGGCCTGGGAAAAGAGGGAGAGTCCTCACAGACTTGCCCACAACCCCTCCCCAGGCCGAGTCCTGAGGAAAAGGAGCTATATCTAAGGTCAAGGCTGGGCTCGCTTGGCACCTGGGGAACGAGTTACACCCCGGATGTGCTTGGAGTACTGGCCTCCTTTCTCTGGCCTCACGACGTGTACTGATGCCACCTTAGCCCTGAAGAGTGTCGTTCCATGCTCCTTTCTAAGAACTGAGGCGCTCACCGTAGGAGTGGAACTGCGTGCACGAACGTCCACCCTGCTCTCGCGACCCTACGGACGCACGGCTTTTGGCGGCGCGCCGGACTCTGGGAGTTATAGTTCCCCTGCTCTTGGCTCAGTGGCCCTCTTGATGCAGATGGGCGGGTCTGGACTACAACCCCCAGCATGGCGCGCACCGGAAACTGGCACGTCCCGGGAGAAAACACAGTCACGCCCGCTTCCATGTCGCGGAATATCACAGCCAAGGGTGTGTTGTGTTGAGGCGGTCCCGCCACTAACCAGCTCTAGCAGAGGCCAGACAGAGGAAATTCTAGTAAAGTGGTGGAGCTGCATGCCTGCTTCCGATTCTGAGCTTCTGCAAGATATGAATTAGGAGGGCAGACCTGGAAAGGCACTGAAAGGAAACGTGATAGCTGGTCGCTTTTCCTGAGTATGCTCTGCCTTCCCAGTCCCAGCTTACATTTGTCCAATACTTATAGGCCCGGCACTGTGCTAAACGCTTTGCAAGCAATCTCATTTAGTTCTTGTCTCAGCCCTGGGTGTTAAGAACCTTAACTGTTTTCCGCATTTTACAGGAGATGAAATTAGACCTTATTTAAATAATTTGCTCAAGTCACACAACTGTTAAATCGCATAAACGAAATCAAGGCTCTTTTGGTTCAACAGCATACATTTAAGCACTATTCTGTCATGCAGGATGAGACTAAATCTATGCTTTAGATTTACAATCACAAGCAAATTACATAAGTTTATTGAGCCTTTATTGTATCACATAAAATAGAGATACAGTGTGTAATGCAATATACACTAAAGTTCCAGAACAGAGTAAATATTCAATAAGTTATAGCTATAAAAATAATAATTTTACACCGATACATAAATTACATTTATTATTCTGTGTCTCACCCAGGCTTTGCCAAACTTCCCAACTTTATAATAAGCTCTCTCAGTTTTAATAATCCCCGGTTCCCTACATTTTGAACTCTCTCCAAAGCTCCTCTAGAATTGTTTACTCCCCTAGTGAGTAGACTTGCCAGACACAGGGTAAATGCCTGCTCACATCACACATCCCCTTACCTTGTCAGCAGGTTTAGGCACAGCCATCTGCTGGGCTTGCAGCTCTCTGTAGAAAGTCCTCATGGAAAGTCGAGGCAGAAACATCAAATCAGACTCTAAGGAAAGAGAAGTATAGACCCTATAATCACATAAGGTGATGAAGTTAGAACATCAGTTATTGCACACATACTTTTTGAACACCTACTAGCGCCAGGCTCTGTTCTAAGCACGGAGGATCCCTCAATGAACAAAAGAGACAAAAATGTCTGCCTTGTGGAACTTACATCCTAGTGAAAGGAAACGGAAAATAAAATAAGCAAGTAAAATATATACAGTAGTATCAGATGACAAGTGCTAAGGAGAAATAAATAGAAAGATTGGGAGTGACGACAGTTGTGGGTATAGGGTTGATATCTACATTTAATTTTGTTTTCTAACTAAATCCAGGGTTGGGGGCATAGCAGAGGGAAAATGTGGCTGTCGTGCTCAAGACTAGCCCCTGTCTGCGGGATCACTATTCATTTTGGAACACTGCCCTGGGAACCAACACATTTCTGTCATTTGTGAGAAGCTTCACCCTAAGTCCCTCTTACTCACCAGGCAATATGCATCCACAAATGGCAAACTCCAGAGGCAAGCAGGGAGCCCTGAAAAGTATAGATCAGTCTAAAACTGAAGTTATCTAAGTGCTTTCTCAGGTCTGCCTCAGATTTGACATCAGATGATGAAGATCATTAGTAATAACACAATTATTGGACTGCAAAAAAAAAAAAAAACTTTCTCAGAACTAGGTTTAGAAGTCTTCCCTGGAAAATCAGGAAAGTAATAGAAGCATCAGAATATAGACCTGAGCAGGCCTAGGAGAGCTGAGACTGGCATGACCACATCACTTCACTTCACTTCTAGGAGCACCACCTTTAAATGACTGTTCCCTAGAAAGGTCTCCTTCCTTAATCCTCAACAAAAGTTTCTTGCTATTCCCAACATTTCCAGGAGACGGCAGCACAGTCTGGAAAAGAAGCAGAGTGGCCAGAATCAAATTTGCTTACTGGCTTCCACGACAGCCAGAATGCAGTCAAGATATTTAAGAGGAGAGGAAGGAGTGGATGCTAAAAATCATATACAAATACGATTGTGTTCTATTTCTGTATTTCACCCAATTTTTGACTATGCCGGGCTTCGTAGTGGATCATATGTCACCACTTAAACTTTAGCACTGTTATGCCCACAAATTGATTCTTAACACATATCCACCGTGACACTCCACCATCTCACCAGTGTCTGAATGTACCCAGAATTTCTCAAGCTAAAACACAGAAATCGTAACCATAAGCAAATTCTTTCCACCTGATAGAGAGCAAACAGGTATTATAAAAACCTAAGCAGCCTCTTTGACACAGGGCTCAAGCTTTGAAACCACCTATCCTCCCCTTGTGATAAAACAAGGAGTGGAAATAAGGCCTGATCTATAAGGCCAAATATATAAGGCCTGGGTCTTGTTAATATTTACATTGTTGGAATCTTTTCATTTGGGAGAAACTAGTAGAGTGAGACACAAAATTCACATTCTGAGCCATCCTCTAACCTCTACCACCCACGCTCTGAAACGTGGTGTTCTTCCTTCCATTTGGCAAGGTGCTCATTGTATCGGTGTATCACCTACATCTGGGAATGTGGATTTGCCCAGTCTGCTTTGAGCAGGCTATCTGTTGGTGTTTTTGTAACAGAAAGAGGTCTAGACTGGAAGATGAGCTACATCAGTTAGAATCCTGATTCTTTTGGCAACTATGCCAGGTGACCTCTGGAAAGTCACCAAACTCCTCTGAGCCTCAGTTTTCTCATCTAAGGACTTTAATACCAATACCTGCCATATGGGATGGTTGTGCGGATCAAAAGAGACCACCTAACAACCCAATGAACTCTTTAAAATCACTGGCATATTTCAGGTATATATAAGGTGAGATAGTATAATGTATCAGAAAATGAGTAAGGAGGAAAAAAAATCTCACTCAAAGATCTGGAATTTTACCTTCTAACCTGGAATCCGACTCTTGATTCTTTTTTGCAAAGATCAGAAGTGCCCACATCTGTGGTCAGACCCAGCCTGTCCTGACCTCTCCAAACTGGTTCTACATTTCATGACAATAAATAGCATCCCTAGCTGCCCTTTCAAACACATCTCATTCAGTCAGACCCCGTCAGTACAGGAACATTGGCAGCAAAGGTCTAGATGCAATAGGATCGTGTCTAGAGTGGACTTTTGACCAGAAAGAAGCCAAAGAGATTAGTATTGGCAGGATGGTGACGATGTTTTTCCAAGATGATCAATGGGTGTGCCTCCTTCACTCCAGACCTTCGTCAGTTAGATGGCATTTTTATGGCTCTTTTCAAAAGCGTGAACTTGGAGTTCAGGGCAGAACTCAATGCTTATTGTTTGCTCCCCTATGTATAGACACAGCAGAACTCTCATTTTGTGTCTGTGTCTAAGAAGTAATCATAATTTTAATTATTCTGTATAGCACTTTACAACAATGATAATGGTGGCTTAATTTATATAGTATTTATATGTGCTAGGTGCTGTTCTGAGTATTTACATGTAACTAATTTTAATCATCAACAACCCTGTAAAACAAATCCAAGGGTCATCCCTACTTTGTAAATGAAGAAACCAGGGCACAGAAAGGCTAAGTGACTTTCCAAAGGTCACACAAGAAGTGCTTAGCAGGGCTAGGTCTTCGATCCAGGAAATTTGGCCCCAGAGTCTTTCTTCTTAACTAATACATAATATTGGCTCTACAAGATGCTTTCACTTATCTTAATTTGATCTTGACAGCAAATCTGTGAGCAAGGTAACACAGGTATATTATTATTTTTCTTATTAAAGGTGGGAAACTAAAGCTCAGAAACTAAAGCTTAAAACATGTGGTTTCAACAGCAAAGCTGAAACAGTTATTGGAGATTTCTAACCAGATCTCATGCTCAGGGGTATTCTTCAAAGAACCATTAAGAGCTTCTTTTGGTCCACCTTGGAGGTGATTGGGGTGTCCGCCCCTCTATGGAGACCTGCTGTCCAAGTCCCACCTTTTGTCACCCACTCCAGGAGTGAGAGGATTCACTCAGAGAAGCCCAAGGGACTCTTCATGATGCCAGACCAAGCCTGAAAAGTGAAACAGATAATAGATGCTCAGAAGAGATAAATCAGCCCTGGCTCTGTCATGGAAGGGTGGAAAGATGCTATCTTCTCCTGATCTTTCCTGATCACACCTAATTCAAGTTAATCAAGCCTTCCTTTAAACTCCTAACTGTGCTTTGCTTTTTTATGCCTCTCTCCCAATTTGCATGTTTTCTTATAGTTATTTGTGCCATTCTCTTATTCAATTGTGCCCTTCTTGAGGGTGGGGACAGGGTCTCACTCATCTCAGGACCCGTGTGCCAGCCAGCATGGTATAAGACCATAGGCAGGCAATGCTCCAGAGGGGCCCTACCTCTTCTGAGTGGTTCTGCATTTGCTCTTGACATTTAGGCACCCTTGCTGGGGGGCAATGTGTAAAAAGATTGAAAGCTGAGGACATATATGCCCTAACCCAGCCCCCATTCCAAAAAAAGAGAGACAGTTAAAGGTGTTTCCAGATATGGACACCCCCAGCCTACTTTCTTGCCTATGGGCAATTTGCAATTTTCCTTCTAGTACTCTCTTCTTTATTAACCAGAAAGTAATCGAATAAACTCACTCTCCCTGAGTGTTAGAATTTTAGAGTTGAAAGGAGTGTCATCGCAGTACAGTCAAGGAAACTGGAACTGCAGTGAGGGGAGGTTAAGCGATAACCCAATACCATAGCCAAAGAACCCAGCATTCCTTGTCCTGTCCCATGCTGCCCCACAGAGGACCTCACCTTTGCCGAAAAATGTTTTCCTCACTAGCCCAGAAATTCTCACCATTAATCAAATTATGCTGGGGTAATTTACAGCATCAAAGTTCACCGTTAATGCTCAGA